GTCGGAGAAAGGCGAGACCATCCATCAACTGGCCGCTCGGAAGGCGGTCCTTGAGCTCGAGGAGGGCCGTGGCTGGCTCCGCCACGCAAGGGACGCGAGCAAGGCCGACGGCCAGCTTCTCAAGGACAAGTTCCCAGGCCGATTTTCCGACATGGTCGAGCGTGAGGCAGTCAGGCTCGGCACCGGCTTTGGTGTTGGCGGAAAGTGGTGCAGCTTTGTGGCTGTCGACAGCGACGGCAGCAGCAGCACTCAGCCTGTGGTCTCTTACCGGGCTCGGGCTTCTGACATTCATGGCTCGTCTCGTCCAAAGCCGCAATACAGAAAGAGAGCATCGGCGCCATATAGTCCCAGCGCTTTATGCAGCTATCAACCACCGGATCGGGCAGCGTTTAGGCCATTGGATGCGCCAATTCCTAAGCCAATGTTTGGTGGCGCATTACCTGTTTTGCCTGCGATGAAGCGGTTCTCCCAGCGAGTTATGTCACGTCCTGAACCCCAATGTGCCTCAGCTTTTGGTCCTCGTATAGTTGAAAGCTCTTCCTCAGCCCCCGTCACTGATTCCCTGGAAACTCTTGTGACTCTCCAGTCATTCAAGGGCTGGTGGACCTGGGGTTCTGACCTTGTTCGAGTTCTGAATTTGGACGAGGCAGCACTGAAACTGAAGCTCGAGAACCTCCTCCAAGCCTTGTGTGGCTTGGAGAACTCCACTGGCTTTCCCATCCAGTTTCTCAAGCAGGACCGTCTGCTGGCCACGGCTCTGGCGTTAGCGGCTCTGGAAACCAGATTCATGGGGCGCAAGGATGAATGGGAGCTGGTGGCAGAGAAGGCCAAGGGTCTGTTGAAGGAGGAAAGCGAGAAGGAGGAGAATGCTATGGACGTCACTGCATATGTGGACATGGCCAAGACGATGCTGTAGACGGTCTAAGGACTTGGTTGCTGAGGCTCATCGAATATGATTACTAGCGAATAAGAACGTTGTGTTGACATACCTCGCGACTTTGCTGATTTGGGCTGATGATCTAGTGACAAGACAAATGCGCTCCCTCTGATACTATCTGAAATCCGAATTCACATCCCCTTTGCTGGGTCTCTTTGTTTTCTACTGTTTTGGTCGGTTACAAAGCGCCAATGTTTGGATAACGTGGATTTCTAATCAGTAGCAGTCATCGGTTATGCTTGTGGCAGTGGCCGGTGTGGCCGTCCTACGGCCATGTCTCAAACTATGTCAACGAGCTCGATGTTCAGTTCAGTTCAGCAGATACTATTCGGTTCCACCATCGTTTTTTTCGTCCCAGCTGGGGTATTGTGGTGACTAAGGCAACCGTCTGCCGTGTTGATGGAATGGGACAGTTCGGCTCGGGACCGATCAACACTATGCCCGCTCTCTGCTCTAACAGAGAAGTGAAAACAAAGTTTGAGTATTTGCTGGGAATCCCGTCTCTGAACTTCCTATTCCACACAAGAGCTGCAACGTTGCACCCCGTGCCATGGAACCTAGAGCGCGCATGCGCATGCGGGACGCATACACGGCTGCAGTGCTCAGGTGGCAGGTTTTCCTCAGCCTATGCCTCTCGTCCCCGCATTCGGACGATCAACAATTGGCGAAATTGTGGTGCCCGTGATCAACAACTGTTGGCGGAGCTGGGTGTTGATCAAGACCCGTGTCGAGCCGTGTGACATCGGCAAATTACAAAGTACAAAGTACACATAATGATGCAGTGAATGCGTTTTCCTTCAAAGCTCGTAACGATGAGTGAGTACGTACCTATAATAACTTAACCTTGCTTTTCTCTTTGTCGTAAGGCTCAATCTCTGTTTGGAACATTGTCTTGTTGCTTATTTTATCAGTTTTCCCCAGACGATCGATATATCCGTATTGGTCGGCCATTGCATGTGAATAACACCTGAAGAAAGAAGACTAACAACACACACATCCTCGGATACCGTGCATCATATCCACTATCAGTGACGCCAGTGACATAGCAAGCGATTCGATAGCGGACAATTGCATTTAGCCAACCACGACACAGTCCCTCCCACATCAACTTTCCCCTGCCAGAACATGACCATGTTCTGGAAGATGGGAATTTGGCAAATTCTCAGCCATGTATGGCTCCTATCCACCCTTTGGCCCTTGACAGTGACCGGCCTGAGCCTAAGCCTACCCAAATTCTCCATCGGCCCAGCAACCGGCGCGGCAAAAAACGAAGCAGTATCACAAAACGACTACTCCAGCATCTCCCGTTTTACACGAACAGGTGAAGCCCCCTATGCCGCCCCCGTACCTCTTCCAGACTCCTCCTCCCCTAGCAACGCGCCAGCTCCACCGGTGCCCGCAAAATACCGTCTCATCTCACCGCTCCTGACCACACAATGGACGGATAAGATTGGCAAAATCCCGTGGCCCCAGCACCCCCGGCCACTGCTCTACCGGAAGAGATGGCAGTCTCTAAACGGCCTCTGGACCTACCAGGAAGCCGTGGGCGGCGATGATGCGGTGAACCATCCTCCTGTGGTTGCGGCGCTGGCCCAGGAAGTCCTGATCCCTTCGTGCATTGAGAGCGGTATTTCGGGGGTGATGACGCAGAACGTCACGCACATGTGGTTTGCCAGGAGGTTTGACGTGCCTGCCGACTGGCCCGCTAGTCAGCGGATTATTCTCAATTTTGAGGCAGTCGACTACGAGGCAACCGTGTTTGTGAACGGCAACAAGGTTGGGTTCCATCGTGGGGGCTACTTTCGGTTCAGCGTGGATGTTACGGATAGCGTCAGACCTGGGGGCTTAATGACTTGTGAGTCGAGTTCTCTAGGTATGAGATATGAGGCTGCTCCTTCTGTATTAACTTTATAACGATCAACAGAACGGTCTTTGTCTTTGACCCCACAGACCAGGAACCGTATTACACGCCACATGGGAAGCAGACAAAATACCAGTCGCACATTTTCTACACACCATGCAGCGGGATCTGGCAGTCTGTGTGGCTTGAAAGCGCCCCTGCAGACTACATTTCCGACATGGATATTGCAGCAGACATGGATGGAATCGGTAAGTTGGTACACACTGATCTGCAGAAATCATCCCTGATGTTGACATAACAACACGAATAGTAAGAGCGACAGTCTACATGTCATCCAACGCACAGAAAATCCCAGTGAATATTGTCGTCCATGGAGAAGGCGGCGCCGTACTCGCGAGCAGTCAAGGTCTAGCGAATGAGACATTCACCTTCAAGGTTCCATCCCCCAAGCTCTGGAGCCCTGACTCGCCAAACCTCTACAACCTCACCGTCGCCATGGGAGATGACACAGTACAGAGCTACACTGGCTTCCGAACTGTCACCTCAGGTGTTGTAAACGGAATCCAGCGGCCGCTGCTGAACGGCAAGTTCATCTTCCAGTTTGGTACCCTGGACCAGGGGTACTGGCCCGACGGCATCTATGTGCCACCCACCTTGGAAGCAATGGTCTACGACCTACACCTTCTCAAGAATCTCGGCATGAACATGGTTCGAAAACACGTAAGCACCACTTCCTCCCTCCATCCCTTTCCCCACAAATCTACCTGGTATCCAGTTCAACTAACTTACACGCCACAGATCAAAGTCGAACCCGACCTCTTCTACCAAGCCTGCGACCAGCTCGGCCTCCTCGTCATCCAAGACATGCCCTCCATGCGGCCAGCAAACTACATCTCCGGCCCACCAAACGCCACCCACCAAGCCGAGTTCGAGCGGCAGATCGAAGTGCTCGTGACCCAGTTCCGCAGCTACCCCAGCATCGTGACATGGGTCATCTACAACGAGGGCTGGGGCCAGCTCCAGCCCGACGGCGCCTCCGGCAACCAATTCCCCGAGTTCCACATCGCCGACCGCGTCCGGCAGCTCGACGGCAGCAACCGGCGTCTGATCGACGCCGTCACGGGCTGGGTCGACCACGGCGCCGGCGACTTCTCCGACAACCACCACTACGCCGACCCGCAGTGCGGTACCCCGTGGTCGTCGCTGCCGTCTATACCGTACGATTCCAAGAGGATTGGGTTCCAGGGCGAGTTTGGCGGTGTTGGGCATAGGCCGGCGGATCAGAAGTTTGTTCTTCCCCCAGAAGCATCTATCATAAATGGAGGCAACTGCTAACACAAATGAAACCAAAGCCTCTGGCCAGTCCAAAACGCAGTCAACTCGATTCCCGAGACGTACGAGATCAACACCAACCTCGACGCCTTCAACTACCGCGCCCATACCCTTCTCGGACAGCTGCGCGAGCAGGTGGCCCTCTACGCCTGCAGCGGCGCCGTCTGGACGCAGACGACCGATGTCGAGGGCGAGGTCAATGGGCTGGTGACGTATGACCGCCGCATATTGCGCGTCAACACGACGCAGTGGAAGGCGGATATAAAGGCGTTGTATGACGCTGCTGAGAAGAGAACTTGATTGTATTCCTTTTTGGTATTATTTTATGTTTTGGTTCTCTTTTGGTTTGTTGTTCAGCTAGGGTGGGTAGAATTGTGAAGGTAGAAGTTCATGAGAATTGTGGAGATAGAAATTCATGGGTGTCTTTTCCATTTTGCACCCTGCCTTACTGGAAGCTTTATTGACTGATATTTCGTTGATAGAAAGAAACCAGGGTCGACTGCAGCCGTTTCTTCTTCACTAGACAGCTCCTGCCATATTAAGCAGGTGGTAATTCTTGCTATTCTGTCAGACCGACGAGTCTGCACATGCGGTGACTGTGATCCCTCCCTTACGTGCGCTGCATTCTTCAAGTTCTACTCCCCGTGTCGTATCACCCTTGGACTGAGCAAGCGAATTACACATGGCACACGAACACGGAGAAGTACATATGCACCCGCCGTAAATAAGCAAATCAATGTACGTACGGGCTTGTGCTGGGCGCTGGCTGCTGTCTGTTTGCGTGGATTCACGCATGACATGACTCGGACAGTGACGCCCAGCATATGACAACCTCAACAAGCGGAGCAAAACAGAACAAAAAAAAATGATCGATCGAGCTGGGACTCGAACCCAGAACCTTTACCAACAGAGAGTTCATGTTGTATTGAGGACTTATCCATGTTAACCGGAAAGTAACGCGCTACCATTGCGCCACCCGACCTGGTTGATGTGAATTGCGTTGGTATTGCTGCTTCCATCCGGGACAGTTTTGGTCAGGTGCGCGGCCCATTTTCAGGAGTTGACACACTTTGTTTACATTGCAGGGGTTTGATTTGGGACGACTTCCTGACTGCATAATTGTCTTCGGTTGCACAAGCGCCATTTTGTATTTATTTGCCACGACCCACTCATGATAAAAATCCTACCCAAACATTCCGGATCTTGTCTATTGTGCATCCTGGGTAGTTATAGTTACGTTTTAACAAATAGATGCTGTCGATTTCCCAATTGTTCAAAGTACGTCCCTGCTTGTACATCTTCTATACCGTCCCTCTCAACCCGGCCTCACAAAACAAGCGCATACGGCACATCAAAACACTCATCCCACCTGCCCTTACCACCCCTCCCATCACCAGCCCAAAACCGTTCCAACAACCCCTTCGCCACCAAACTAGACGACCTCCCCTGCTCTCTACCCATTGCCTCCAGCTCCCTCACAATGAACGTCCTGACACCTGCCCCAGCCCGTGCAGCTTCCACGCCCGCTACGACCATCGGCCACGTCATGCAGCTCCGAACCTGCGGCACAGCCAGGCCCTTCTCCATCGCCACAAACAGTATGCGTGCGTGTCTGGCCCGGATGACCTCAATCTCGGGAGTAGTCGACGGGAGTAGGGAGACGCTCTGAAGGGACAGAATGCAATACAGAGCTACAGTGGAGTGGAAAATGCGGCCGATCAGGCAGAAGATCTCTGGGAATAATGGGTTCTTTGTGTCTGCCCAGTCGTCGGGGGAGAAGCGCTCGATTTGGTGGAGCAGTGTTTTGGCCCGAGATTTCAAGTCCAGTAGATCCTGATCTGGCTCAAACTCGTCTATACTGTCGGGGTCGGAGACGACCGTGACCGCGCGGGAGCGTTTGGTCGCTTGATGGCGAAGATTATTGATGGCGGTAATATCGGCAAATAGCGTTGTCGGGCAGTGCATGGAAGGATAGTGGAGTTTATTATAGAGTCTTAGGAGGACTTGGGCAGTGTCTGGCTGCAAGCAGACTTCGATCTGGTCGTTTGCGGGACTAGTGGTGTTGGCCAAGACCCCAACTCTAGGTAAATCGTCAAATATGTTCATGGTTTACGACTGTCGTGGAACGGATGAACTTACACCCAAAACCCAAGGACGGGGAGCTGCATGTATGGAGAAGATCGCAAGAGAGCAACAAAGCCACCACGAAGCATAATCATCTTGACGAAGCCGTCGACATGTTGCCGCCAGCGAGGGGTCATGGACTGTTGCAGCTATTGCGGAATCACCCTGTAAGCGAAGTACTTGACGTGTGTGTGGGAAATCATCAATCGGTACCACGGTACACTTACGACTGCAAAGAGAAACGAGTAGACACAACTTATGGTTACATCACTACAACGAGTCTTTTCGCTTCCAATAAGCTCGTTGAGAGAGCGGATGGCAATATCGCGGTGGTGATAAAGGCGTGACCACATGTCTGGGTCGGACAATGACGAGTCCTTGGCCACGACCCCTGTAGTCTTGAACAGTCTGTGGCTTATCGCGACTGATACCAAGGTGTGGGTAAGAGCTACGGGTAAGAGACTTAAATCGGGTAGGACTATAACAAAGGGGCTCGGCTCCAGTTGGTTAGAGCAGTGTTGTGGGTATATCTGGTCGTTGTCTACATGCATAGTATGCGTCAGTGGCATAGATGCCGAGCAAAGATAGATGAAACGTACAGTAAGTGGCAGCATCGATAATGTCAACAGACTCGTGCCTCAGCTGAACTGCAGGAAGACGCGGAGAGGTAGAGGCGGCAGAGACTAGCACACCATCATCGGGGTTACTAGTATCGTTCGATTCGGTTTCGCTTTTTCTCGACTTGATCCTCTTGACACGGGGGCGCCTGCACCTCTGCTTTTGTGCACGGGAAACAACCTGACCAGGTGCCAACCACTTTAGCGGCTTCTTGTCTGTATACCCCGGGCACACGATGCCGGCAGTACTGCATTTTCTGCACACGGGATGCGTCGAGTCGCAAACCACCCGGCGGCGGCGGCATTCCCAGCACTGCTGGTCTTTGACCTGGACGTTCTCCTCCATCTTGAATGGGAATAATCAAGGTACCTTGTCACGATGGACGTCTCCAATTGGCATTCGTTGTCCACCACTACGTATCATGCGATGCGGGGAATCGAGCAGCCATCCGAACCGAGTGTGTAGCGTGTCGCGCGAACGAAGTGTGGACGAAAATGAATTAAAGCTGAATCAATTTTGGGAAAATGAAGCACAGACCGGGACGGGAAATCCGAGCCTCAGCGACTTGGAGATCGGGATTTACGAATTACGTCCTATGTTGTACCAATACCAGGTCTTGGCAACTTACGTCTTATTATCCCGATCAGGATAAAACATGCAGCGAGCTGAATAACATCTCTTGCGCTATATATTTGCGACAGCTGTTAGTACAATAACTTGAGTCTCACATTTGTGGGTCAAGTCCTGCAAAGCGATCTTCGATCTTTCACCGAAGGAAGGCGCTGCTGGCTCAGCCCCGCTAGAACAAGGGGCCGGATTAGTCACAGAAAAGGATTGGAGGTCAGAAACACCACATACCAAGTACAAAGAACATCTAAATGCCAAAAGGGGTTAGGTGCATCATCGCCACGATGCCCGTGAGACAGGGACGGCCATTTGATATAAAGTATTCACAGTATGACAAGAAAGAAAACACATTTGATATGGCAGATAATTTAGATTCTTCTTTAGATTTGTACTGCTGTTTCAACAAGTTCAGTCAATACCGTTTGTTTGTTGTATCATAATTCATATCATCATTCACGCCCAACAAGTCAACAACCGACGCGACCTTCCATAGCCTCATTAAACCCCCCAAAATGTCGGATGGCAGGCCAGGTAAGAAAATCAGGGAAAACATGCCTTCGCATCTCTCACTGACAGCAATCTGCTACAGTTGGCGGGAGCGTATTCTTCTATGCTCCCAACAAGGGGGCGCCCGTCTTTTTTACCATTGCTTTTGCAACCAGCGGAGCGTATCACCTCTGGCAGTGCATGTAGGTCATCTTGTTGCTCTATCACTGTAGCGACCACCAGACACTAACTCATCTTGCCCACAAGCCACTACAAATGCTTCAAAGTGACCGCCCTCCTCCCAATCTGCTGCCTGTTATTCACCGCCGGATTCGCCGTCCGCGAGTATGGCGCCTTCCACTACGAGAACCTCAACGTCTACATCGCCAGCACCTTTCTCATCTACATGTCTCCGTACGTTTCTCCCCTTCATCAACCATCCACCCCCAATTCCAACACTAACACCCCTCCAGCCCCCTCCTCGAACTAGCAAACTACCACATCCTCGGCCGCATCCTCTACTACATCCCCTACCTCGCCCCCATCCACCCCGGCCGCGTCCTCACCACCTTCGGCACCCTCTCCTCCCTCGTCGAAGTCCTCAGCGCCATCGGCGTATCCTACGTCGCCAACACCTCCCTCCCGGCCCGCCTCATCACCCTGGGCGACGCCCTCCTCAAGGCCTCCCTCGTCCTCCAGCTCGTCGTCATGCTCTTCTTCTTCCTCCTCGCAGGCACCTTCCACGCCCGCTGCGTCCGCGCCGGCATCACCTCCCGCCGCGTCCACGCCCCGCTCCTCACGCTCTACCTTAGCACCTTGATCATCCTCGGACGCACAATATACCGCACCGTCGAGTATTTCGGCAGCAACGTGGTACGTTCGCATGCAGAAGGCGGCGGAAGACTCGATCCGATGATGCTCAGCCCGGTGATAAGGTACGAGTGGTTCTTTTACGTGTTTGAGGCGGTCTTCATGCTGGCCAACTCGGTGCTGTGGAATGTGCGACATCCGAGACGCTATCTGCCAGAGGACTATCGGGTGTATCTGGCGCAGGACGGGGCCACGGAGCTGACGGGCCCGGGGTGGAAGGACAAGCGGTCGTATGCCATGACGGCGTTGGATCCGTTTGGGTGGTTTGGGGATGGCAGTGGCAGTGGCAAAGGGGATGATGCTAGGCCGTTTTGGGAGGAGAATGGGTTCGACGGTGCGTCCAAGAGGCGCCAGGATGCCGTGGGAGGTGCGGTCTGACCGTGGAACGTCTATGGCATGAGTTGCACTGTTATAAATGAAAGAGAATGGTGATGAAGTTGGTTGGATAAATGTGGCAGCAGTGTATCTAGGCCGGTACTAGGTGGTCGTTTCAGACTTGTACAATAGATAGACAGTATACTGAATGTTCAGGTGTATCGGTATTAACATGCACGGCATATACAATTGCCAAGCGAGTCGTCGACCCGGGTGTAGCATCAGAAACACGGCATGTGGAATGCCACAGGAGCGGGGCCATTCTTCCGTGCAGCCTCACAACAACCGGTAGACACGGAAACCGGGTCGTCTAAATTGTCCATACTAAGGGTAATAATGTGCCGAAAACGTGGGCCGCGGAGATGGTGCCTGTCGCAGGTTTCGCCTGCTCTTGCCAGACGATGTTTATCGTCGGATTCGAGAGAATGTAGGGGAAGGAGCATTATATAAAGCCAGCCAGGCGTCTCGCTGCATTCTAAGAATTCCAGTGTGTCTTCCTTATTCCTTTTGTCAGCTAAACATCAACCGTTATCGCAATTATCATCACATCCAGTATTGTTACGACAAGCCTGTCCCTATCCGTCGTGATGGGCGGCTTCCTCTTGTCTCTGCTGGTGACAGCTCTCATCAACGAAGCCACCACAAAGCCCATTCTGACTCAACGCTTCGTCTCAATTCCCGCTGGCTTCTCTCGGACTCTCTTCCACGACGACTTTTCAGCCCTCGCAGCCGGTTCCCAGCCATCCTCATCAAAATGGACGATACAGACAGGAACCAGCTACCCCGGCGGTCCAGCAAACTGGGGCACGCGCGAAGTGCAAACATATACCAACTCGCGCGACAACCTCATCATCACCCCCTCAGGCACACTGCGCATCACGC